CCCAAGAGGGCCGCGATTCCGATACGGTCTTTTCTTAACTTTTATTTATTGTATTGCCGTTTTAGGCAGTCGAGCATACGGCTCACCTGATGGTGAGTGGTTACCCTCATGGACTTCAGCAATGCCAGGGGCAGAGCCAAGCCGCTGCCTATCATAAAGCGTTCAGCGAAGCACTGCCCTTGTTAGGGCATATGTTAGCAGACTCCTAAGCCGAGCCCCATAAGCTCGCGTACACGTTCGTTGGAGCTAGTACAACCCTTAGAGATTACTAGCAGTAGGTAGACAAAAAAAAACCATTAATTCCTTGCTTTACTGCCTTAGAAGTGAAATTACCAAAAACTTTTACAGTGCACACTTAGCCAGGACAAGCAGTTATAATAGTGATTATAAATATTTAAATTATTTTCTCACACTGGTGACGTTTCCGCCGGCTATGAAATAGCACGCATGGTGTTCCATGTTATTCTCAATCCTTACGATAAATCAAAATTTAAACGACAACTTTGTGGTAAATAAAAAATCGGTTGTCTGTAAAGTCGGTATACTGACGATAGTTGAACGTGACAACGTCATAAGAAAATACGCCTCAGAGCGAGGTAACGCCGCATGAGTCATGTTTTTTCGTGCGTGCAGCCGGCTCCATCGAATTGTCTCGTCAAAAACCTTATAGTGTTTCTAAAGTACCGCAATGTTTAAAAACAATTTGTAATAAAAGAATAATATGTGAATCGAATACACGCGTTCGCAAAACTATTGAAACTCAGCCATAGATCAAGAAACGATGTTTCTGACAAATAAATACAATCGAACGTAATCTGCACGGTACAAAAGTTTAACGCCCACAAACGATTTAATGAACAGCGAAATAAAAAAAAATAAAAAAACGTTATTAATTTTAGTCTCTATACAGTCTTAGCTTAAAGTTGTATTTTAAGTGCACAAGTAAACAAGAAATTGAGTAATGTGTCTGGATCTGGATCTGTTTATTGAGTCGTAATTTTTCAGAATCGCCTACCCGCCTCTGGGATCGACAGCGGGTGTCGAAACGATAATAGAACGATGCGTAGTGCGAAATCCATACTAATGTCATGAATGTGAAAGTTAAGATGTTTGTAGGAACAATCACACAAATGTGCCTTTTTAAAAAAAAAAAAAAATATTGCTTGGATGGGTGGACGATCTCACAGCCCACTTGGTGTTAACTGGTTACTGGAGCCCATAGACATCTACAACGTAAATGCGCCACCCATCTTGAGATAAAGTTCTAAGGTCTCAAGTATAGTTACAACGGCTTCCCCACCCTTCAAACCGAAACGCATTGCTGTTTCACGGCAGAAACAGGCGGGGTGGTGGTACCTACCCGCGCGGACTCACAAGAGGTCCCACCACCAGTAACTGGCTGAACGTATTTGAATGAGTTTTTCAAAAAATATAGCTTACAAACTGAATTAACACTTGGACATATTTTTATGACAAATGCTATATCTGCCATAAATAACACGGTTTTGTGCCCAAAACACGTCATCTCGGATCCCACCGATCCACTAACGGTGCTTCTAGGTACTTCAAGCACCGGTCACCGTTCTCGTCGAACCCGTCGCTTGCGACGAAGGGCTCGACGAGTAAATTAACTCTCAGACACAGCCCACTGAGTTTCTCGCCGGATCTTCTCAGTGGGTCGCGTTTCCGATCCGGTGGTAGATTCTGCGAAGCACGGCTCTTGCTAGGGTTCGTGTTAGCAACGTCATCAGGTTTGAGCCCCGTGAGCTCACCTACAAAAGTTAGGGTTACGCTGACANTCAGGTTTGAGCCCCGTGAGCTCACCTACTAGTTACGGCTACGCTGGAATAGCCGCTCCAGGCTACCAGCTTAGGTAGGGAAAAAAAAAAACGGTTTTGTGTTTCCTGGTTCGCTAATGTACGTACTAAAGGATTTATAATTCGATAGATTTATGGACCACAGAACGGCACATATACCTATTTATTTTGGGAAAACGGAACGTATCTTTTTATGGCTAAATTACAAATTGAAAGCGGGCGAAACCGCGGTGCGCGTCTACTATTAGATAAATACAACTTTATGTTCGCTGGACTATCTGTGCCAGAAAAAAAATTGGCCTATTCGTACTGAATTCTTGAATAATATCTTGGTTGTTTTGATTTAGCTTTGTATGAATTTTCTCTTCTATTAAACGAAGCTCGTATGGGCAATAACTTGGTATGAAAAGTAAGTTTATGTATAATTTATTGGTAAAGTAATATAAAACTTTAAGTGATCTTCATAACCCTTAACCAAATATAAAGACAAAGAGAGTCGGATTTATAGGAATAAGTAAACTTGTAGTTGATTTTTCAGAAGTTAATGTTCGTGGACAAGCTATTAGTTTGAATTGCCGGTGTAAGGCAACAAAAATAGGTTTAGTGAAGCAGAATTGTTCTCTAAGTCGTAGCTAATTAAGTTTAAAAAAGGTTGTTATCGAAATGGCACTTATATGGGCCAGTTACCCTTATATGGGTCAATTGGATTTTATTTTGTTAAAAGTTGTTTTCATGCTATTAATTTGTTACGAACACATTTTTATACATTCCTTTCTAAACTTAATCTATTAACATGATTTTAAGTAATCTCTAAAGACCTATACTCGCCCAATTTCAGTTAGCAGTAATTATTCGTGAAAACCTAAACAGCCGCTAATAATATTCATTGCTTAAGTATGCTGGGCATTGTTAATTTTAAAATACCTTCATGTTCGGTGCGAAATAATTAGATATTTAGCAGAAGGAATGCTTTTAATAACGTGACCCGGAATGGTCCAGTACATATTATTGCCTATCGTGTCTCAGGGACATTTTTTCGTGTTGTTTTTGTTACCTTTAGATTCTCACCGAAATCGTTAAGCACAATTAATGCTAATTTACATAAAAATTATATACCTTAAGTTTTATTCTGTCGTCGAACCTTTTTAATAAAAAATACACGCATAAACCATCGCATTTCATTAAAATAATTAAATAAAACCCAGATGACGTGCGAGGTCAAAGACCTTGAATGACGCGGGGGGTACCTGTTGGCCGCTTTCAGTTTTGATTGCGGACTCATGAAATAATATTGAATGTGCATTTACTAATAGAAAAATTATAAACATTTGTATTTTTATTTTTAATAAATATAAGGCTGGCTTTCTAGATATTTTTAAAAGGTTTTGTTACCTTAGGGATAACATTTTTAGCTTTTTATGTACTGAAACAGTTTTCTCGCATTCTAAGAATTCTTATTATGTTACTCAAATTAAACATGCACGGTACATACCGAATTCACTTTTAGAAGTGCTTCCTGAAGTGTACTAAAGATTTCAGAATGTTTTTCGTCTTTCGTGATTTTGTATAAATATTAAATACAAAGTAACACTTCGATCTTCGGTATCTCAACGCCTAACAATCCCTTTTATAAGTGAGCACAAATTTACCCACTGAGCACTATTTCCTCATGAATTCAAATTAATTTGTTGTTGTTGTTGACATTAAATTTATCAACTATATTACTCACCAATTAAATCGATCTACAACTTTATGCTATATAGAAATATCGAGCTCTCAGAAGTTAGGTCTGGCGGTAGTACTATATAGGTCTATGGGCGGTAGCCATCATAGATATTTGACAGATTCACATTGATGTTTGACAGATGTTTGAGATATAGTTTTAAGGTCTCAGTATAGTCACAACGGCTGCCCCACCCTTCAAACCGAAACGCATTACTGCTTCACGGCAGAAATAGGCGGGGTGGTGGTATCTACCCGTACGGACTCCCAAGAGGTCCTACCACCAGTGATTACGCAAATTATAATTTTTGCGGGTTTGATTTTTATTACACGATCTTATTCCTTCACCGTGGAAGTCAATCGTGAACATTTATTGAGTACGTATTTCATTAGAAAAATTCGGTGCATCGCTACATACGAATGCACCGCACGTCTTATCCTTTAGGCCACGACGACTTTTTTACCCCGCCTATTTCTGCCGGGAAGCAGTAATGCGTTTCGGCTTGAAGGGTGGGGCAGCCGTTGTAACTATACTGAGACCTTAGAACTTATATCTCGAGGTGGGTGGCGCATTTGCGTTGTAAATGTCTATGGGCTTCAGTGACCACTTAGCACCAGGTGGGCTGTGAGCTCGTCCACCCAACTAAGCAATAAAAAAAACATTTGGAAGGAACATTATTTTTGCCGTAGATTACCTAAGGCGCGATGAGACAACTGCCGTTTAGTTGTTTCCGAAGACAATATTAGATGTGTACAAAAATACGCCATTATCTACACCGACATGAGAATTCGAAGTCTCAGTCGTAATTTATACTCGTAATAAATCTTATACGTTAATTAAATATGAGATTCGATACGACGTGTTATTTATTTAGGTTATGACGTATGTCGTATTCATTAATCCAAGCAAAAAAAAAAAAAATATTATGAAGAACATTGATGATATTCTCATTTAATTTTGGTGAAATAGTGATTTAGTTTTTAAATCAATTCTCCTTCAAAGTACATGTCACAATGTAGAGGAGAGTTTGGCTTCCAAAGGCGGATGATAAAGAATGGACAATCTCTGAAAATGCACTTTCTATGGACGCAGCATCTCAAGCAGCGTGAGCAAAAAGGAAATGACAGGATTTGGCAGGAAATGACAAGTTATTGCTCAGACCAGATTTTTTATTATTTTTTATTTATTGCTTAGATGGTTGGACGAGCTCACAGACCACCTGGCGTTAAGTGGTTACTGGAGCCCATAGACATTTACAACGTAAATGCGCCACCCACCTTGAGATAAAAGTTCTAAGATCTCCGTATAGTTACAACGGCTTCCCTACCCTTCAAACCGAAACGCACTACTGCTTCACGGCAGAAATAGGCAGGGCGGTGGCACCTACCCGCGCGGACTCACAAGAGGTCCTACCACCAGTTTGAAATCCCAAGAATCCCAAGAAAGTCTTTTTGTTTTAGATTCCGGCAACATTTCCGTGGACTCGGCATTCTGCGCTTTAATGGCATCCTCGCCGCTACTGGAACTAAGCAGCATCTTCTTCTTCTTCATACCTGCCGTTCTAATACTGTGTCTCTATGTCAGGATGGGTCTACATATAAGGTAAGTGCCGTTAGTTCACACAGCCTAGTAGATCTTGTGGCTCGCAACTTTGACTATCGAACCACGAGACCTAGGTCTGCAGTCAATATTTTGAGAAAGATTGCCGGGTGATTCTTTTACTTCTGTTTCTTTGGTATTTTATTTCGTGCACTTATAACCCAAGAGAAAAAGCCTATTATTTTGATGATGTGGATGTGTCGGGATGAGACTCGATCTCTGGGTTGAACGATAAGGCTTCCAGAGGGTTTTTGACCATAGAGACCGTTCTTAATGTAATTGCCCTCTAAGGAAAGACCCTCTTCTAGAGCGAGGTGACTTGAGTGGTTTAGACATTACCAATGCGTTCAAAAACCCCCCTGATCCCTGGTATGATACATGGGATCAACACCGAGTGCTATTCTTATTGCCGATCGGCTCCTACTTCGGTTCGCTAGGTTGACCATTTGCACTGGTCACGGTCTGGTTTCTGGTCATGCGTGTTGTTCTTAGCCCGCTGCTCTGGAAAATCGGGTAAGACTGAGAGCTGAAAGGTGCCTTTCTTCCAAATTTCAACGCCGTCTGCTATGCATTTATTCGTTACTTATAATCCAGGATTATTATGATTGCGAGTTTGTCTATATTGACATCGTCAGAGTAGCATGCAATGCGTTAGGATAAATGTCGACTCTAATTTAAAAAAAAATCACACTAATACGACGGTGATTTCTGCAAAAAATGGATCTTTATGTATTTTTTTATACTGGGATTTTAAATATGGGGACGGTGCGATCAATGGCCATATACGGAGCATATACGGGGTCAGCCCCTGGCCATGATGGTGGCGGAGCAGCTGCAACGGCCATAACGCACCATAGTGGTCAGGGTCATTCGTGGTTATCGCACTATCTCCTTCGAGGCGGCGTGTGTACTGACTGGGTCGCGGCCTTGAGTCCTGGAGGCGGAGGCACTCGCTGCTAACTATTAGTAGCAGGCTGACCATCGTGCCAGGGGCGTGGCGCATCTCAGCCCCAGTGTGGTCAGAGCGCGGAGGGCCTAATTTCTGCGGTGCGTACTGGAGTCATGGTCCAGGCGGCTGGCCTATCCTTCGGCTGGTCGTAAGACCGTCGAGGCGATTCGCCCGGTCCTTGTGGATTGGGTGAATCATGACAGAGGACGCCTCTCTTTTGGGATGGGTGGTCACTGGGCATGGTTGCTTCGGTGAGTTCCTGCACCGGATCGGAGCCGAGCCAACGGCAGAATGCCACCATTGTAGTTGCGACTTGGACACGGCGGAGCACATGTTCGTTGTCTGCCCCGCATGGGGGGTGTGGCGTCGTGGCGAGAGGGCTGGTGGTTGTGGCGCCGAAGACCGCCGGCGCCCGGCGGTCCGGCGTCCCGAGGGGAAGAGTGTTGGAAGTGATGTGCTCGGCACTAAACGCTTCACTTTCCTCCCTTTGGCTTTTCATGAGTTCTGTCTCATGCGAGGCTTGGACGCTGGTTGTTGAGCGACAGGAGATTTTATTCAGTTCGACTCGGACATGCCCCGCCCTCCATCCCCAGTGTAGGTTGGAAGTCCGGAAATTTCCTCCTGACCAAAAAAAAAGTCGTGGACGGTCATTAGTTTGGTAGCAAAACGAAGCGCAGCACGATTCCCGTGAGGTGAAAACACAATCGTAATGTCATCGAAGCTCAGCTAACTTCGTGCTACGACAGAGCCTAGCCTATCGAGGCGCGCATAGATGCCATCTCACATACCAACCAGCCTTTTTCAAAAGCGGAGCCTCCATCCTAAGAACTGTTGTTCCTTTTGTTTGCTAACTTCAAAAGTAAATTTCTAAATTGTTCTAAGACAGCAAACGTGTTTTGTGTACACAATATTTCTCTTAACTCGATCACCCTAGTTATTCGCCCCTGTGATTTCTGACGATGGCCTTAATAATACGGTTTCTGCGATATATATATTTATATTATCTAATACGATGTGCCTCGCAAAATTAGCACTACGACCACGTCTCAGTTCGACAGAATATTTAGCCTTAATTGCTTTAATCCCTTTGTTAACGAAACACATCTGGTTCTTTTTTAATGAGAGTAGACATAAAACCTCTCGCATGGCCACTTATAAAAAAGAAACATAAGAAGAAAACGTCAAAAATAAAAAAGAAGACTATCGCCGACCGCACCGCACGCGCTGTACACGCACACGCCGCTTATTTTTTCACAAATATTTTCATGGACTCAAATTAATTCTCTATTATACAAACTCTTACTGACGACCATATTCGTCGTTGCGCGAGTGATATACAAGTTTTATAGACAATAATTTAGAAGAGTGCCGTGTCAAGTCGCCGCCATTACGCGTCGTCCAGCAGTGGCGTCGAATTCTTCAGCCTGGAAGAAGCTAGCGACGGGTTGGCAGGTACGTCTACTCCTCATAGCCTAGCCTCGGCCTTCCCCTCTTTTGTGCATCTTTAGCGATACTCGCCCCCGCAAAACTTTCTTCAAAAATATTGAACCAGCGCACCGCCGTGGTGGAAAATTTGTAAAGAGTTTTTCCCACTATTATTGGTCCTTCGTCCCCGGATTACATTTTAATCATCGCTGATCACCGCTTATTACGCGAATAAACACGCTTTATTATAT